AAAGTTCTGTAAGACAAGGACACCAGGACATTCACATCAGATCTTTGGAGCAGAAAAGAAGTAAAAACAACATGAAAAAAAGGCTGAGTTAGCAGTTGAAAGAAAAGTCACACATTAAAAACGTTAAGTAATATAAAGGTTCCAGATAATGGAACTGGCTTGGAGTACACTCGATTTTGACATCTACTTTCATACTGTTTTCTTTGTAGGAGAAGATTGTAGGTGAAATGTGTTGGCATTCTATTTTTTCTTTGTTTTGTTTTTATTAAATCATAACTGTGTACATTGATGCATTTATGGGGTTTGGTGTACTGATTTGATACACAATGTAAAATGCTTACATTGAACTGATTAACACATCCATCACCTCACTTACTTATTTGTTGTGGTAAGACAATTATACTACTTTCTTAATAGTTTTAAAATGTGCAAGAAAGGAGCTTTTAAGTTACCCAGGACTTAAGATGCTATTGCTATAGTGGTCACTTTGAACCTCTAACAAGGTCTTTATTTGTGCTCGGTTGTCTCACTTCATTAGTCATTGTCCTGGTATTAATATATTCAGATGGATACTTCTGTGTGCTGAAAGGCACACAAGCTGACAAGCACTGTGGCTGGCCAGAAAAGACCATGGGCACCTTTTCTCTCACTGGCATGGAGTTTAAATCAAATTCTATGGCTTTTTGGGACTTCTGATTGTAACAATAGGCTTGAGGGTCTTATCTTGTGGAAATTAAAAGAAACTTGTTCTGGTCCCTCGTAAATCTCTTGCTCTGGTTTCCTTAAGATAATTCAACATACTCTTTAAAAAACAAAAAAAAAAACTCTTTTTCTGGCTTACATAGGTCTTTGTTGCTTGCAATCAAACATGTTCTGACTCTAAAAGACCCTGCAACAGAATTTATTTTCCAAAAATGACTGTGAAAACACACACTGTCACATACTGTTCGAGGTCTGGCCCCTCCCTCAGTAAGAATGAAAACCAAGTCCCCCACTTCAGTCCCTTTGGATGGGATTGGATGGCTAGAGTGTGGCAGAAGCATTGTTCTGTGACTTCCAAAAGTGAGAGAGTTTCTGCCTGGCTCTCTCTTTCTCTCTCCATTCTCTATAAAGATCTGAGCCACTACATAAGTCCAGCAATCCTGAAGTCACCATGCTAGAGAGGTCACATGAGAGAGACCACAATGATGGAAAGATACTAGAGGACCCCCAAGTGCAGGTCTGGGACTGGTGTAAAGATTCAGAACCTTGCTTATGGTACAAGTTTTTAAAACCTTGGTAGACAAGTTAAATAATATTTTAAGGCAGTATTTAAAAAGTCACGATTAAAAACACAATTCATGATGACTAAAATATCAAAATTTTTAGTAAGTGGTAAAAGCTGCAGCATGGCAGTTGAATCCAAGTCACAATGGAGACTTCAGCAAAAGAAAAAATTTGCAATCCCTACGTACATATTTTTAACTGGTAATGGTTTTAATAAAAATATTATTGAGGACTTTGCAGCTATTAAAGCTAGGAAAGTGAAATTATAATAAATTCTAGCTTAGGTGAAAATAAAAATTTTAAACCTAAACTAATGTGAGTTTTACCATAATTTACCATTTTCGCTATATATTTCAATTGTCTTAATGTCCTCAAAAAATTAGCAACAGAATGGTGGTTGTTGGCTGGGCGCAGTAGATCATGCCTATAATCCTAGCCCTCTGGGAGGCTGAGGGGGATAGATTGCTTGAGCTCACAGGTTGGAGACCAGCCTGAGCCAGAGTGAGACCACCCCCATCTCTAAAAATAGCTGGGCGTTGTGGTGGGCGCCTGTAGTCACAGCTGCTTGGGAGGCTCAAGAGAATCACTTAAGCTCAAGAGCTCGAGGTTGCTGTGAGCTGTGACAGCACAGCACTCTAGCCAGGGTGACAAAACGAGACTCTGTCCCAAAAAATAAATAAATAAATAAATGGTGGTTGCCTTTTACCTACCAGTTTGGCGGGGAGTCTTTGTTACACAGCAATAAATAGCTAGAACAGACATTTTCCCATTAATTAGTCCCCTCATGCCAGAAAAGAAAAATGACTCAAAGGTTCCATCCACTTCCCCAAGGCCACCCCACCCTCCCTTTGCTCACCTCCCACTTTTCCTCTAAAGGCCACGCCTTCCCTTACAAGACCCTGCCACTTCCCATCCCCCTAGCGAGGTCGGACCCATTGCTGTTTCCGGACCCCTCCCCTCCCTTCGCTCACCTCCCACATCCCTTGCGAGGCCACCCCAGCGCCCAGGTCCCACACTTACAAAGCCCCGGTTGTCACCGCTCTCTTTTATCGGCAGCCGGTACCGGACGATCGCCTTTAGAGTCTCCAGTCTGCTCCGTGGAATCTGAAGTAACAGTTCTCTGTGGGCCGCATGGCAACTCAGCCCTGGGAAAACCTGAGTGAAGCTGGGTGGAAGTCTAAGCTCGCTCTGGGGCAGCTCCAGCCTCTTTTCCCTGCTCACACCGTAGAACGTTGCTCTCCGTCTCAACTGCCTCTAAATGGCCTGAGTTAGAACCGCTGGGTTTTTTGTGGTCTGTATCAACAGCCCCCCAATAGTTGGAGGTAGATGTAGGCGACAGCCTCCCCAAGACAACACATCTCAGAGCGCATATGCTACACAGAATTGTGGGTCTTGGTTGGTGAGCTCAAGGAAGTCCCTCTTTGCTTTTTCCTTCTCTTTTTCCGTGCACCACGCAGCCAGAATTCAGCCAACTCTTAAGCTAGAGTCAGGCAACAAAAATCCTCCATGAAGGTGTCTGGAACCGGATAGATTCAGAACCCCCTCGCCATATCTAGGACTGCAAGTTTTAGCCAACCTATGGGATTCACGTCCTTTCATATCAAAGAAGGAGGCTTCCTCTCTGACGTTTCTTAGCCAACCCAATGAATAAATGTGCCCATTATGGTAATTACAGCCATGACTCTGGCTCAGAATGGAGAGAAAAGACAGAATCCCACATATCAGCCAGATAAGAGTTTTCTAGAAAGAAGCAGACATTCAAAGAGGCTGGAGCAGGCAGTAGATTGAGATGTTTGAAGAATATAAAAAGTTCAGGATGGCCAGATTGGGAACCCAAGAGAGTGATAGGTGGGGAGGCAGGAAAGGATGGCCAGACCAGGTTGACGGAGCTTTGGAGGCAGAGACAAGGAGTGTGGGATTTAAGAGAGGAAGGATCTGTGATTATTACCCCAAACCAAAGATCCCCAGTGGAGGAGCCTGTGAGGAGCTTCGTTTGAATCCTCCCCACAAAACAACTGGAATAACAAATGGTCCAAAACGATGTCTTCAGTGAAACTAGGAGTAAGAAATAATCTAGATGTTGCTTTCTGCATGTAAGGCTAAAAATACCAGAACCAGGACCAGAATCTAGCAGCAAGGTGGTTGCAGAGGGCAAGGAGAGGATATAAGGCATTTTCTAGTGACAGAAAACTCGAATTAAACGTGTGTTCATGGTAGGAAGAAGGACCCCCACCCATTCACCACCCACCACCTCATGGTGTGTTCTGCTCATAGAACAGACACAACATGGGACCACAGAAGCGTCATTTAAGAAAGTAATTTTTTTTTTTTTTTTGCAGTTTTTGGCTGGGACTAGGTTTGAACCCGCCACCTCTGGCATATGGAGCCAGCACCCTAATCCTTTGAGCCACAGGCGCTGCCCAAGAAAGTAATTTTTTAAAACCCCAGACTGGAGGTCAGAGATTAAGAATTCCTTCCTGAATGAGGTTAGGAACTAGGAGTCAAAAGAGTTCTGTCCAGTCTGAAAAATGTCCCCTAATTTCAGAGATGCTAAAATGTAGGGACGCATGAAGCTGACAGTGGATCAGAGGACACCGTCTATGGTAACCCACATCTCAATTCCCAGGATGGTAAAAAGGGAAGAAACTGACACACCAAGTGATGAAATAGGGCAGTGGTCCTCAGCCTTTATGGCACCAGGGGTCAGTTTCATGGAAGAAATTTTTTCCACAGACTAAGGTGGGCGAGTTAGGGATGAGAGAGGAGGCAGAGCTCAGGCCCAGGAGTCAGGGGCCACATAAATATGGTATTAAAGAAACTGTCACAAGAGTCTTGAGCTGAAGGTTGAATCTAGTCATCTAGGCTCGCTGCTACCAAGGACTCTCCTTCTCTCTGGATCCTCCTACCAAAAGCCAATTCAGGAAACAACAACCCATTCAAACCCACAAGAGAAACTGAAAAGGTTCCAGTGATAACCATACCAAGATACTATCAGAAAAAAAATTGAAAGGAATCAAATTTCACAGTGTGAAAAGAAAATTTACTTCACAAACCAACATTCCTATATAAAATTAAAAGTGCAATGATTCCAATGCCGCTAGTAAGGAAGAACACAAAGCAACATACGAGCACGATGCCAGAGCAAAGGGAAACAGGAATTCAGGAGAAAAAACATTCAGAAATTAAGACAATGACAAGAAATGAAGAAAATTACAAGTAGCACAAGCTTGAAATAATTATACCTCTAAACGGGAAATGATCAGGGTGGGTGCAGTGGCTCATGCCTGTAATCCCAGCATTTTAGGAGGCTGTGGCAGGAGAATGGCTTGAGAACAGGAGTTTGAGACCAGCCTGAACAATATAGTAAGAGCTCTGCAAAACATAGAAAAAATTAGCCAGGTGTGGTGGCACACGCCTGTATTCCCAGCTACTCAGGCGGCTGAGGCAGAAGGATCACTTCAACCCAGGAGTTTGAGGTTGCTGTGAGCTTTGATGGTACCACTGCACTCTAGCCTGGGCAATAGAGGGAGATCATGTCTAACAAAAAAGAAGAAGAAGGAAAAGAAAGAGAGAGAAAGAAAAAAATCAATAGTTGGATGTATATCAAATAATACGTGAACACATTTTTTTTATGGAGGCTGAAAGGTAATATGAATTGGAAATTGAACTCTCCCACTCTGCTCCCCCCCAAAAGCAGCTTCATAAGAAGCTGTGGTCATGGAGGATTCTTGCTGAACCTGTGCATGGAGCAAACCCCACCACCCCACCTATTGTTAGTATCTACCTGGGAGCACAAGGCCACTGACCAGAGCCCTGAGGTCCCTTGGGAGACTTTGGAGAGCAGAACTGGGTAGGAATTTACCAAAATGATTTTCTGTATCTGTTGATCATTTTCAACCAGCAAGATGTTCACCTTGGCTTGACCAATGACATATTGACAAGCCTCAACAGAGTTGGTGGCATAAATACCGACACAAAGACCCCTGAGAAAAGAAAATACATTCAGGTGTCTGCCCATGCACACCTTCAGGTGAGCGTGGCTTGAAAGGTAAGGGGAGAGGAAAGGTTTGCAGGTAAGTTCTGAGCTTGCAGCCTCTCCACCAGCTTCCCATTCTTCCCAACTTAGCAGTGATGAAGACAATGAAAATGATAGTGATGATGGGAGTGGCAACTCCTAGGATGTCATAACAACAAGTCAAGGGCCAAATGAGGCCAAGGGCAGTGCGATTGCTTGTTCAGGGTTACATAGCAAGTAACTGTTAGACCTGGGATTTGACCCACAGCTCAGCCAACAGTTCCTTTATTCACAACCTTCTGTTTTAGCTGGTGTCACCCAGTTGTGGCTTTGATTTGCATTTCCCACCAGCTAAAGACATGGAGCATCTTTCCAAGTGCTTGTTGCCTGCGTTCCTGTATGACATTTCTGTTCAAGTCTTCCGCTCAACCAACTCAATCCTGACTAGGATTTCTTTTCTTTTCTTTTTTTTTTTTTTTTAAAGGGAAAACATAAGCATTTCCTTTGCATTTGGAAAGCTGAGAAACAGAAAAATTTCATAGAAAAACAAAAAGCTTTTCATAGTGGCTAATATGCCCTGTTAGGCACTAAAACACATTTCTATTTGTGGCTTTAATACAGCCATATTTTTGGTCCTTATAAAAATCAAATCTCTCAGTAAAAACTGAGTATTTCACCACACTAATCTTTAAATTGTATCACTAAAAATGAGTTATAAACCCCAATTGCTAACCTCTTAAGACATCCTGCACAATACATTTTTATCACTGAATGAGTAATTGCTTCAAAGCAGTGCTGCCTGCAGTCTGATTTGGTGGTCCGTGTTCCTTTTCTCCAGTAAAAAGGAGAACTCATGAACAGAAACACTGAGCTCCTTGTGGTTTCAGCAATCAAGAGAACATTTCTGAGCAGCTTCTGAGCAAACATTTCTTAACAGTTTGCTCATAGATCTGGGGTCTTCACTACTCATAATGGTGCTGCCAGGCGCAATCGTGTCTGCTGCCACTTCTGCACACTGATGGACAGTGTCAGGTCCTCCACCACCAAGCTCTATATCCAAAGATGGGAACTGATTCATCAGCCAGTGGACCTTCGGCATCATATCTTCCATGAATTTCTGTCCTCCAAACCCAAGTTCCACTGTCATAACCAAGGCCGTGTCTATTTGATCAGTCCATGGTGCCAAATACTCCACTGTAGTTCCTGGTTTGATGGCAAGGCCAACCTTCACCTCCTCCTCCTGCATGTCTTTCCTTAGAGGACCTGGGTTCTCAAGAGCCTCGATTCAAAAGGTGTACTGACTGGCTCCTGCTACAGCCACTAGCTTTACCCACTGCCCGGCCTGGACACCACCATATGCATGTCTAGGAAGGGTCCTGGCCTCGCTGCATTCAGAGGCTACTAACTCAGGGTGACCAAAGGTGATGCTGGGAACAAAATGCAAAAAAACTGACTTCCCTGTACGTCCTGCCCGGAGTCTAACATCCAGAGGCACTCAGCCCCTAAATCGGCTAGGTCACTGTTGGGGATGGACAGGCAAATCCTGCAGCCTGATGCTAGTTCCCCTGAGAGAATTTCTTCATATATTCTAGATACACAGTACCAGACCTATGTCAGATTTTTGTGAATATTTTCTCCAGGTGTGTGATTTGCCCATTCATTTTGTTGTTGGTATCTTTTTTTTTTTTGCAGTTTTTGGCCGAGGCTGGGTTTGAACCCACCACCTCCAGCATATGGGGCTGGCGCCCTACCCCTTTAAGCCACAGGTGTCGCCCTGTTGTTGGTATCTTTTAATGAGCAGATGTTTTTAATACTAATGAAGCCCTATTCAACTTTTTCTTTAATGCTTTTTGCTTTCTTGTCGTAAGTAATCTTTCCTACTACCAGGTTGTGAAGATGTTCTCCTGTGTTTTCTTTTCTCCTGAAGCTTTAACTTTTTTTTTTTTGAGACATAGTCTCACTATGCCGCCCTTGGTAAAGTGCTATGGCGTCACAGCTCACAGCAACCTCCAACTCCTGGGCTTAGGTGATTCTCTTGCTTTAGCTTCCCGAATAGCTGGGACTACAGGTGCCCACCACAATGCCTGGCTATTTTTTTTCCTTGCAGTTTGGCTGGGGTCAGGTTCGAACCCGCCACCCTTGGCATATGGGGCTGGCGCCCTACCCACTAAGCTACAGGCCTGCCCACTTTAACTTTTTTTTAAAGACAAGATTTAGCTCCATGAACTAGGCAGGAGTGCAATGGCGCAATCATAGCTTATTGCAACCTCCCGGGCTCAAGCAATTCCCTTGACTCAGCTTCCAAAGTAGCTGGAACTACAGGCACATGCCACAATGCCTGAGTAATTTTTCTATTATGTGTAGAAATGGAGGTCTCACTAGGCTGCTTAGGCTGGTCTTGAACTTCTGGGTGCAAGTGATCCTCCTGCCTCAGCCTCCCAAAGTGCTAGGATCACAGGCATAAGCCACCACACTTAGTCTTAACTTTCATAATTAGGTCTAAAATCCATCTGGATTTAATTTTTTTTTTTAAGAGACAAGAGTCTCACTTTATTGCCCTCGGTAGAGTGCCGTAGTATCATAGCTCACAGCAACCTCCAGCTCTTGGGCTTAGGCAATTCTCTTGCCTTAGCCTCCCAAGTAGCTGGAACTATAGGCACCCACCACAATGCCTGGCTATTATTTGTTGCAGTTTGGCCAGAGACTGGTTCAAACCCCCCACCCTTGGTATATGGTCTGGCACCCTACCTACTGAGCCACAGGCACCATCCTTGGATTTAATTTTTGCATTTGGTGTGAAGTAGGGATCAAGGCTGATTTATTTTTCCATATGAATATACTATTGATCCACCACCATTGGATTTCTTTGGTGTCATCATTAAAATCCAGTGACCAAGTATATTTGGCTCTATTTCTGGGTTCTCTGCTTCATTAATCTAGTTGTTGTGCTTTTAATAGGGCAGGGAATTATCTAGGTTATAATTATGTATAATATTTGCCCTCATCAGTACTTATAAGCACATACTATTTGCTAGACACTGCACTTTACAGCATATGTTATCTTCATCTTACTGACTCTTCCTAATAATCCTGTTGTTGCAGGAAGACGAGGCCCAACAGAGAGAAAGAGCACCCAAACATCACGTTTATAAGAGGAAGGGCTTTATTCACCAGCCGGAGCTTACGGCATAGAAGAATTCCAAATTGCTGTGCTCTCAGTCAGACTGGCTTGGTTTTTTCCTTTTTATCAACAGTCAAGAAGTTCCACCCCACAGCTACCCTTCTCATTGGCCAGTTTGAATCAAGCAGGAGATGCTATTCCAGCCTCTATGGAACTACAGGATTTCATAAAACTTGGAAATTTCTAAGTTCCAGGAATTTAGTTTACAAATTCCCAAGAGCTGAGTCACCATGGACAGACAGGACCCCGCAGGTGTCTCCTTGAGAAGACCTGTTCTCCTAGACCTCACCCTTCTCGGGTATTCTCTCTCCCTGTGAGGTATGAGGGTATGTTGCTATCATGCTCATTTATACAGAAGACTGCAGGCAGAATGGGGACTGAAGACCACATTCTTGGCAGGGGAAGTTACCCCAGCAAAAGGGAAAATTTAAAAGTAAGCTGAAGGAGTCAGAACAAAGAAAAGTCAGCTAATTTACCTTTAAGCCAGCCATTGCTAAATTTCTTATCTTGTAGCAGGAAACCCACGCAGACAGAAGGCTTCAGGCACCAGTTGATCAGAGGAAGTGAGAGAGGATACCAGAGAAGGGTGAGGTCTGGGAGAACAGGTCTTCTCAGGGAGACCACGAGGATGCACCTGCAGGGTCCTCTCCATAGTGACTCAGCTCTTGGGAACTTGTAGACTTAACTTCCTGGAACCTGGAAATTTCCAAGTTCTGTGAAATCCTGTAGTTCTGTAGGGGCTGGACTAGCATCTCCCACTTGATTCAAACTGGGAAGGGTACCTGTGGGGTGGAACTTTTTGACTGTCAATAAAAGGAGAAAGACCAAGCCAATCGGGGAGCGCGGCCATTTGGAATTCTTTTATGCCATACTGGCAGATGAATAAAGCCCTTCATCTTATAAACGTGGTGTTTGGGTGCTCTTTCTCTCCGTTGGGCCTCGTCTTCCTGCAACAGAAGCAGCTTTGTTTCTGCGACTGGGGGATCTCAGAAGACTAGTGTCTCAAAAAACGAGCCCCCCCCAACCCCACCCCGGCCCCCGTCTGAATCTCCTGCCTGTCTTTTATCCACTTTTCAGAGCTAGAGTGCACATGAGGGTCATAAAACTGAGAGAGGGATGACATAATCCGAAGGTCCCGGGACTCAAGGGGAAAGTCACATTTGCTCGCACCCTTGAGACAGGTCAGGCCAGCTGCCCTCAAAGGCAAGGGAAGCCTAAGGAAGTTACAAGGTTACAGTCTAGGCCCAGCACATGTCAAGGGAGGGGCATACAGATAGCAAAGACCTGAGGCCTGGCTAATACAGGGTGGCTAGGACAGATTTTTAGCTCTGCTTTTTACTCTCATGCCTCAATCTGAACAAGTTTCCGGCCCTTCTTGAAACTCTGGCCTATTGGGGATACAGCTTACACCAATACCCTGCTGAGTCTGTGAACACTGTGAGGTAAACAATGTCGGTAGAAGAAATTGTGGCAAGTCCTAGAAAAGATACACCTTCTAGGTCATTTCTGCCCATTAAACAGACAAAGCAGATACCCATTGTGGAGATTTGCATTTGGCTGGGGCAGACGCCAGGTAACAGGTCAAGCCCTGAGATATGTATGGGCAGGAGGGCTTACATCCCTTACCTTAGAGGAAAATCCTCTGGGGTGGTGATGAGAGGAAATGTCTCTCTCCACTGATTCCTCAAATGAGCTTAATGCCAGTGGCATTTTATTCCACAGTAAACTAGCAGAGTTTAACACCTCCCTAGGGATCTGTCTTCCCCCACACAAGGCTCAAGTTTCAG